GGGGCCGGCACGTAAATGTCCCCAGCAAAAGCCTGGGACCTGGGCTGGAGAGGACTGGCCTCTGCATCAGAGCATAGGTCAGCGACCAGGACTCCAGGGCCATAGCGGAAACGGAGAGCCGGGGAAGACAGGAGACCAGAGACAGGATTCGGGGATGGAGGGACAGAGGCCAAGCCTGGAGAGATTCCTGGGGAGCAGCTGCTGTTGTGTATTATTCTACCAGATGGGGAGGAGTGGACAGCTAGAAAGGAAGCTGAACAGGCCTCAGGTTGGAGAAGTTGGCGTGGCAGCCGCTGATCTGGACCTTATCTGGGAATGGGTGTCCCATGCACTTTTATGTTAGGGTAACTTACAGTGTCCTGAACATTGGACACAGCTGTGAGTTTCACAGAAGTGGTGGCTGGACCCTGGGGCCGGGAGAGCTAGTTGATTTCCTATGATCCTTACCATGATCCTCGCCATCGTATGCTTTCTGCAAACTCACTGCAGAACAGTTCTGCACAGCACCGGTGGTCAAGGGGGGAGAAAAAGGTAAAGGACTGCCCTTAGTGACTCAGGAGTGGGGCTCTGTCCCCTGCCACCAGGGGCCATCTCCTGTATTGAAGACTCCTCTTCTCGGGTACAAGTGGAGTCATGTTTGAGGACCCCACTTCCCGGCAGGTGCCATCCACCCGAAACACTGAGCAATGGAAACCATCCCCGGTCCCGAGTCCCCGCACCTTTCAGCCCACCCCTCCCTCCTCTCCACTGTCAACACCCACCAAGTCCTAACGCTGACTTCAAACACCATTTCGCATTTCCTCCCCAAGTAAATCACTGCAGGAACAGCAAACACACAGAAACCTGGTGAATGAAGGGTAAGAACACAATAAAAATTTCCACCAGTTATTATCTACTTAAGAGAGAGGCTCTGAACTGGCTGCCAAGAAACCTGTGAGCCTCATACCCAGAAGGCTGAGGACCCTGGAAAGGCGGAGATGCTGGGGTATGGCTCTCAGATCGTCCTCCTTGGGAAGGAGGCTGTGTTAGTAGCCAATTACATCCCCCTTCACGGATACCAATTTCCTGCAAGGAGCCAGGGGCTCATAACTTTTGGGATGAGTACCAATGGATAAATAGCTGTTGCTGCAGAATCCCGGCTGATTTTATGTTACTCTTGGCACTGTGGGCTGGGACGGTGAGGAAGGAGCCCAGGAGGATGGATTTAATTTAGCAAGACGAGCCTAGTGCCTGCTCCGATCGCTTCTCAGAACGCAGAGACATGGTCACAGTTTTCCCCTGGGGTAGGAAGAAACCAAAGCCTGGGGAAAATGAAAGGCCATGGTGGCAATGTCGGATCGGAAGATAAGCCAATTACAGAATCTTTACCCTTGGTGGTAGCCAGTCTCCAAGATGCACCTCCCCCCCCCCCCCCCCCCCCGCCGCCGACGGTGACCATGGCCTCTGGGTATTCGCCAGGTGTTCCACTCCCACAGTGACTAGGGATGTGCTGTGTAACCAAGATACTGGTTCTGGACATTCCAGAAACGATGGAGTTTGACTTCCAGGAGTAGGTCATAAATGACACCATTGCCTCTGCCTTATACTCTCTCTTGGGTCATTTGTTTGGAGGGAAGCCAGCTGCCGTATCACAAAGACACTCAGGCAGCACTCTGGAGAGGTCCAGGCCTCCTCCCAACAGCCACCGTCACCTTGCCACCCACATGGCTGAGCCACCTTGAAGCACTTCCGCCAGCCCCGGTCAAGCCTTCGAATGATCACAGCGCCAGCCGGCATGTTGACCGCAACCGCGGGAGACGCTGAGCTGGAACCACTCTTGCCAATTCCCGACCCTCAGAAACCATGTGAGATTGTATACGTGTACTGTTGTTTTGTGTCACAATCTCTGGTGTCACCATCTACATTTTGTAGCAAATAGATCACTCATACGCCCCTGCCAAGTGTACCATCCCGTTTCCACAAGAAGCTGACTTTGTCCCTGGTGGGAAGCCTTGTCAGAGTGTCTTTTTTTTTTTTTAATTTTTTTTTAACGTTTATTTATTTTTGAGACAGAGACAGACAGAGAATGAACAGGGGAGGGTCAGAGAGAGGGAGACACAGAATCCGAAACAGGCTCCGGGCTCTGAGCTGTCAGCACAGAGCCTGATGCGGGGCTCAAACTCACAGACCGCGAGATCATGACCTGAGCCGAAGTTGGCCGCTTAACCGACTGAGCCACCCAGGCGCCCCCGAGTGTCTTAAGTAAACGATCTTCTCTGTGCTAGAGTGTCTCCACCTCCTGATATCAATATCCCCTGACAGAGGCGGAAAGCTGCCGTTCCGGTACTCTTTGACATCCGCCTCAAACACTGTAGCAAAGTAAACACATGCTTATACACACGCATATGCAAACGTTCACACGCACAGAGCTTTCTTTTAAGCCTGAAAAAATCACTCAAGCACTGGGAAAATGAACGTTTTTCCAGGAAGGACCGGATGCTCTAGATGTTTTAAGTACCATTTATTCATGCTGTCTCTGCATAGACAGATGGAGGGGGGCAGTGTGGGAGGGTACAGCTGACTACTGAGAGTTGATAGAGGTCTCTGTTCTCCTTTGCTAGTCACAAAATTCTGAGCTGTGTGAGGACCAGCAGGTGAGGAAAGCCACTGTCACCGAGCCCGTGCATTCCTGCATTCGTTTAAATATTTCAGAATGGAATTTCTCCCCCTTTACACACTTTTCCCCACCCTGTTTATCTCCCTGGGTGAGGAGGAGGGTCTTTAAGAAGACAAAAACACAGAGACTTTGTGAGCATAATGGCATGTCCGGATTATGGTAGAGGCAGTCAAGATACAGAGGGAAATATTGCCTTGCTGTGTAGACGCTCTACTATGAAGAACCTGGGAGATACGAGGCCTCTACTTAAGGTGCAGATTAAGAACCTGGAGCTCCTTGCCCTCCAGAATGGAGGTCAGGAAGGATGCTCAGAGCCTAGAAGGCTACCGGGGGCCACGAAGGCAGAAGCAAAGGGTAGCGAGAGCACTCAGAGTGGGGAACAAAGCAGAGCAGAGAAGAAGGGAAATCAGGCAGAGAAGGAGAATGTTCGTCCAGAGCGAATCTGCAGGGGCTGAAACACGGCCTGCTGGGAAACCGTGTTCCCCCACCTTCTTAACCAGGTATTCATTTTTTATTTCTGTCAAGGGCCTCTACCTGTCTGTCCTTCCAAGTGTTGAGTCATATCTGAAGGCTTGCATCAGCAGCGAAATATTCTCACCACATGGCAAGTAGGACCATGGAGGTCCTTCTCTAGGGAGAGTCAGGACTGATCATAACCACCGGCTGGGGAGTCAATGTGGGGATGCAGTTCCTGTGCCTCACTCCCCTGGATGTCCTCCAGAACCAGGTCCTGTCTCTGTGCTCGTCTTCATTTGTGCAGCCTCTCTTGGTGAGCTCATCCTTGCCTATGATTTCAAACACCAGCTCTGGTGAATAACAAATCTGGCTCCTCGTCTGCCATCCATCCCCGACCGTAGCTCCGTGTGGACCTGCCCCCCTCTCTTGGTTGTCTGACCCTCCTTGCACTCAACAGGTCCAGCTGAGAATTCAATTCCACACAAAGACTTCTTTTCTCCATGGCCTTATCCCTGACCTTGGGATCATCTCAAGACTTCTCGTTGCTCGGGCCCCAAAGCCATTCTGCCGGCGGGGCCTGAGGTCTTTCCCTTCAAACTATACCTTCGTTATGGACAATGACTATCCTATGCTCACTGCCTCCACGCTAATCAAACGCATCGTGACCAGCCTGGAATGCTCTTTTTACTTCTTTGTCTCTTACGCCCTGCCACATTTCAAAGTTTTTGTTTCCCAAAGCCTTATCTGACCCCTCAAGACCACATTTGTCTCCTTTCTGGAACTTCTATTCATCCTATTCAAAAATTGGTTATTGAAGGTCTACGGTATACAATGTGTGAGGTGCTGAGGGCACGAAGAGTGAAGTACCAGGCTTCAAGGAGATTAGACTAGTAACCATCACACCAAACATCTCGCCTTTGTTTTCTCTCTCTTCATTGTGTTTCCCCAGCCAAATTCTTAAAGATCCAGGACTATGTCTTAAATGTCTTTTGTGAACCCCACGGTGACAGACTATAGGGCATAACATATTCATATCAAGCGCTTGTTCATTAAATGCAAGACGGGTGGCAGAAAAAGACAAGAGATACATGTCGACTGCAGTGTTTTCCTAGATTAGAGAATTATCTCTGGTTGAGACAAAAAAAGCACATCAAGAAATTAAAGAAACCAGAGTGTATTGGAGTAGTGTTTTACAAGTCTAACCAACAATTCAATGTCATTTGACAAATTATTTGATTCGGAGCTTAGTAGTAGTTGAGAACCCCTTCCCAAATTCCATAAGCCTGAACTGATCGTCACATATTATGATTAAAGAACTAATACGAAAATGATTTGTAACATTTTAATAATTTAAAGGCAGATGTTCGAAATGTCCGAAGAGATGTTACAAGATAGAAGTAAGAGCCAATTGAGAAGCAGCAAGCACAAATTCTCAGATAAAATCATTCTGTGCTAGTAAGGACAAGAGAACTGATAGGGTCTAAACACATGAGGCAATCCTGCCATCCACTCTGCAAGGTCCCTTGGAACCAGGGACAACAAAGGGCTCAGGCAATACCAGTGATGTCCTTTCTATGTGTCCCCAGGGAAAAATTTTTTGTGAATCACAAGTGGAGGAATATCATTTCCCCCAAATGTCAAACTGTTTCTAAGAAAAAAAAAATTGGGAGATATTTCCCTCGTCTAAACTTTAAGTGAGTAGAGTTTTGATTCTTTGAGGACTGGTATGGACCTCCACTTAGACATCCAGTCCAAGGAACACATGTCACTCCATCCCAGAAGAGATCTTCACATGCTGAGCAGAAGCTCAAGAATTCAGCTTCAAAAGTTAGTCCCCGGCACATGTTTACTGTCAAATGTCATCTTTTAAAAAAAAATGTGTACTCACCTGCCAGAATATGCTGTCAATTGTGTTTCCGAGAAAACCATCGCGACCTTCGGAAGACACGAGTTTGGGGCCAAGAATTGTCATGAATTCATCAAAGTCCACCTGGCCATCCCCTGGAAGGAGAAAATAGAAATAGGAGCTGAAAAGCAGTTGAAACTGACCTACTGTCCCCAATGAAATAAACATCACCATGCTTTTCTCCTTGGCATGACCTCGGTCAATGAAGAGTCGAGGGCATTACTGAAAATTGTCCAGCTGTACATGATAGAAATTTCAGCTTTGTCCTCGTCACCCACGTACAAATTTAGAGATCAAGTCTTTCCCTTCTTCCGTGCCTGTGCCTGCTCGATCTTCCTTGTTCATTCAATCGCCAGTCCCCTTCTGAAGATTGTGGTAGGAAAACGTTTCCAAGAATTAACGTTCCCAGTTATAATTATGTTACTACTGAGATGGCTGTCCGCCCTCACACTCTTACCACCACGCCGTCTCCCATACAGTTCTGAGTTTACACCCCCTCAAAGCATAAATGATCATGCTTTTTAAACATCAGTGGCATCTTTTTTTTTTTTAAACATTTATTTATTTTTGAGAGAGAGAGAAAGAAAGACAGAATGTGAGGGAGGGAGGGGCACAGAAAGAGGGAGACACAGAATCTGAAGCCGACTCCAGGCTCTGAGCTGTCAGCACAGAGCCTGACGCGGGGCTCGAACTCACAAACCATGAGATCATGACCCGAGCCGAAGTTGGATGTTTAACCGACTGAGCCACCCAGGCACCCCAGCATCAGTGGTTTCCTTATCTTTGGCAAAGAACACAGTACAGCATTCAGGTCCCACTATCCCTTTCGCTGCCTTTTGTTCCCCACCCCTACACAAAATGCCATGCTCTCTCAGAACTTCATGCCCCTGTACATGCTGTTCCCTCTACCCAGGATGCCGTCTCCCCACTGGTCTACCTGATGAACGTCAACTCATTCTCTAAGACGGATCTTAAATATCAGGTTCTCTTTTTGTTTTTCTTTCTGACCCTCATCTCACTGGACAGAGTTGGCCAAACTCGATCTATCACAGGCCCTATCAGTCCATGTCCCAGTCACTGGTTTGCATACCTATTTCCCACCTGCCATCGTGAGCTCTGCAAGGTCACGGACCCAGTCTGAAACTTCTTTGCATATTCCACATGATGGCGGGGACTCAGTATGTACTTACAGAGTGAATGAATATCTCTTACTTGTTTTTTCTTTGCTCAGTTCAGCATCTTTCATGCGAGATCTGACACTGTCCACCCAAGGGTGGACTTGAGCCAACTTAGACAAAAGCAGGCCTTCAAGGTATTGTCTGAGCCCCAGTGACTCATCAGTGTGGCATTCTGTGCCCTTAGAACTGCTCAAGGGGGGCGTCTCCACCAAGAGCTCTCCACATGTTAGCCCAGCTGGTGCAGACGGCCCAGGTGTCTGCACACAAGTTTGGCAAAGTGCAGACGCATCAATCCATTCCCAGAGTGCAATCACCTTCAAAGAGTCCTCGTTCAAAACCTATTTCAAAAAGCTGAGCAGATGTCATCATCAAGATGCCAATAATTCCGAAAAAGAAGTCCAGAAACAGATCGCGGTGTAGATAAAACACCCTAGGGGGTAAGGGAGGCGTGGAGAGTCAGTGGGAAAGGAAAGATTTAGTACCAAATGGGTAGGACAGTCACTGGGCTACTGGAGGAAACTGATTTCCTTCTCACGGTGCAACACGACAGAGGCATCTAAAATTCCACCCTTACTGGTCATCGTGAGAAGGCTAATTCAAGCAACGATGAGTTACCATCTTACCTTTCAAATTAGCAAAGGCTTCTAGAATGCTGGCAGAGATACAGAGAAGAGATGGGCTGTCTTATGCCTTCCTGGTACACTCATCCCGGATACTGGATACGGACTGACAGTATTTTAGATGCTGTAACATGCTGATTCCTTTTGATCTAATAACTTCACTTTTTAAAGAGAAATACGAGGCAAGGAAACTATCTTAAATGCAGACCAATATATTTGCCCCCAGATAGTCCTCCAGTATTTGTGAAAGTGGGAAGTTGGAAGCGTAGGAAAAGAAGGGCCCAGTCTTCCTGGCAATCACACTGAGCTAGCTCCATGTGGCTCCAAGTCTCAGACAGAGGCACACTCGTTATCCACCTGCATTGACCCTCTGCTCACCCCGAGTCACCCTTACTTGTCTGGTGCCAGATGGCCAAAAAATCTCAGACTAGAATATGCATTCTCTATAGATATGGTATCACCCTTGATGAGGTGAAAATTGATTCCTAGGAGATAATCTTAGATATTACAATGGTTTGTGACCCTCTTAGGGTCTTAGTACATAAGCAGATACACAAATCATCTGTGCTATTAATATCCCATGGGGTAAGGCACTAGGGGAACAAATGTCTTCAAAGTCTCCTTGTAGTGGGGTGGCCCATAGGATGTGGCGGGGCACCTGATTCTCAGAGCCAGGAGAATCAGGGCTGTCTTTGAACAGTCCGCTTGCCAGGTGGGAGGACAGAGACCATTCACCTCTCTGAAACCTCCCCTCCCCCATAGGGTGATGGGAGTGGGGCAGTGCAGAACTGGTATATGTCAAGGGTCCACACGGAATTGTGGCCAAAGTCCTCAGGGAGTGTTCACAGACGGTGCCCTTGGCTGAGAACACCAAGCCTGAAACTGACCAGCAGAAACGGCCTCCGCGGCAGGAGCAGCCCATCCACCACTCAAATCCTTGACCAGAGAGAAAGTTCTGGGGAAGGGGGGAGGACGGTCCTATGGGCAGTGCTAACTGCAGTGAAGGAATACAGACTTTCTCAGCACAGACTTTCTGCGACTTGGAGGGGAGATCCAGTTCGTGGGAGAATTTGCTTCTACCTATTTAAGAGAAGACATTTGGGACTTCAGAGTTTTTTGTGATCAAAATATGATCCCCCTTGTCCCCCCACCATTTTTTTTTTTTTTTTACTGTTATGGAGCAAAGGGAGATTCCTGCAAGCCCACATGTGGCAGAAACAATCGAGGTGGGGCCCCGTCACCTCTCTTAGGATTTTCAGCTTTGGCTCCTGAGTAAGTGCATACGTAGCACATTTTCTGTAGACCTACCGTAAACGAAGACCCCTTCTCATAATGCACAGCTCAGCCCCAGTCCAACCAGTAGTACAAAGTTTTATTACGATTGAGATGGAGGAAAAGCTCTCTTCGGCAGATCCCAGTTTCCTGGACAAACAGAACTGGGAACACCCCATAAGCTATCAACGCTGCTCCCAGAAGTGTGGCCCCACATCGCCACCCCCCCCCCCCCCCACTCCATCCATCCCAGGAAAACTGAGACAAATAGAATCTCAGAGGGAAGTCTTTCATTAAGTCCCTTATGCGAAAACCATTCCCAGGCAGAAGCAAGGTCCGGAAGGTCTGATGACAATCAAAATATCTCCCTTTTACTGAGCACCCACTACGTGGTGGGCATTGCTTACAGAAATTTCCATACCCTAGTTCACTGAAGTCTTCCAGCAGCCCATTTCCACAGAGGGGGAAACGGAGGCACGGAGAGGTTCAGTGTCTTGCAGAAACTCACACAGGGAGCAGATCTGGGATTCCACTCTGGGAGTAGACTGACGTATCTACAACTTTGACAAATTGTGTGCAGACACCTGGGCCTCCTCTGGGGAAGCAGGGTTGTGGTTGGACTCCGTCTGGAACATTCCTTTCCCTGACCCCGGCACTGCCTGGCAGGGGATGGCTACGGCTGCCTGGTACATAGAGGCGAAACGAAATCAAAATTGCTCCCTCTGGTCTAGCTAATGGGCTTCAGCTCAACGACTAAGAGATCTTTCTTAATCATTGAAAAGAGTCACAATAAGTAAGAGGAAGTATTTATTTAACACGTGCTCTATGCCAGATGCTGAGCTCAGGGCTTTGTGTTTATCATCTTGTCTGCTTCAACCCCAGCACGATGAACAGATTCTCCTCTTCCACGTTTTAGCCATGAGAAGACGTAGGCAAGAAGGGGTTAAAAGGAGATTGCGGCCCCACAGCTCGTGTGTGGCCGCAGAGGGGCTCCGCCTGGGCTCCGTGATATCAGCCTCCACATTGTCCAGCTGCCTGCGCATCAGAGACCCCGGGACAAGTCCCAGTACAGGCTCGAGTCTGCACGCTTTGAGAACATAAAAGGTCTTCCTAGCTGGCCACTTAGGAAGGAATGTAGTGGGAAATTGGGCGAGATGGCTTTCAGGGACCTTAATACAAACGAGCATTGCCTAAAAGCCATTTCTTCCCCAAATTGCCACTCGGCCTGCAGTTGGGGGTCTCGGTGATTCTCCTTGGATGGTCAACTCCCAGCGGACCCAGGCCTCTCGCATAAGACCCTCCAGGCATCTGAAACCTCTTCCGCTGAAAAGAACTGCTCTAATAAACGAGGCCTGTCCAGGCCTGGCCCGGTGACATCGGGTTGCCATTCTGGAGTCACCTGCCCCCAGAGACAAAGGTGGGCGGCTTCCCAGAGCCACCACATGTCATGGAATGTGACAGACTGAACAAGCGCTCTCCCTTTGGTGAAATTATTTCACGAAGCTCGAGCGAGAGAGCACCTGCAGGATAAGAAGAAGGCATTCGCTCCTGGCCTCATCTTCCTTTCTCAGGCTTCCAGATATCACAGTGCACCTAGTAAAAAGGGCAGGAAGAGAACCCTGCTAAGGACTGAGTCCTGTTTCGTCCCCCCACCATGGATGTCAAAGCAATGCACTTGAAACTGGGGCAGGAAGCCTCAGGAGGGTCAGGACCACACATCGTTCGTTAAGACCAACCAGCTGAAAGATTCACAATGAGGCGAAATTATAGTAAAAATCACTGCTAAATACAAGGAAGGAAAGGACTACACACGAAAAGGGGGTGGGCTCCGAACAGGGACACGGGTTAGGAGGAAGACACAATGTCTGACTCCACTGACATCAATTAACCACAGGGGCGCCTGGGTGGCTCAGTCGGTTGAGCGGCCAACTGCAGCTCAGGTCACGATCTCGCGGTCCGTGGGTTCGAGGCCCGCGTCGGGCTCTGCGCTGACAGTGCGGAGCCTGCTTGGGATTCTCTCTCTCT